TGTTTTGGAATTCTGCCAAAGTTGAATTAATGTGGACACAAGTATAACATACAGTGAACCAATTAAAAAAAACAACTTATAATTACAAATTAGGTCAGATTTGTTCTCTATTGAACCAACCTGACTTTGACATTGTCATATGTCAGCTACTATCTGACTAACACAGCTTGACCTTGGGTTGACCTATTCATATGATTAGATTATTATTACTATATGCATTATTTTACAAATGGGCAACAAGTTTACTGATAGTTAAACGGTGGCTATGAGGATGTTAATGGTATTTAATGCCTGTTTATGGTTGAGGTTTTAGTAAACCTAGGGCCTTGGACATGTACTATAACCAAGACCCCTAACAGGCCATTAACTACAGCTAGTGTATGAGTTGTCATACTGTAATGAAGTAATACTGCAAATTTGGCGAGTTTTTGGTGTAATCCTTGCAGCCCCAATATGGAGTGTGTGTTGCGTATGTGTGTTACAAAACTACTTTTGTATTGGACAATGGCCATTGAATAGGCCAATAATCTGTAAAAATCTCACCTGATACACCATAGTAAACTACATTTTGCCTCCAACCAAAAACTACCTGTTCAGCTCATTCACTAGAGTGACCATGTATTCACACAGCTAGTTGATCCAAAAAATCATTAGTTTGAATCCTGGGCAGAGCTTCTAAAAAAAGTCCCATTTTTTAAATAGTGAAAGGGACATTGTGCTTTCCTCACTTTAATCATGAGTGGAATCATCTTGTTCTGAAAAATAGTATCTCATAATAAATGGGTATTGTTGCGAACAAAGAAACTCATCGTATTGTTATTGAGGATGCTGACAAATATACAAGAAACAGGAAATCAAAATTATCAACCAATACGTCTTTAATTCTATGATCGATTCCATGCATAGTGGAGATTGATGAAACCAGTACTGTGTGAGTGCATACTTTTGATATCCTCATATGAACCTTCATCTTCCTTATCTAGGAATACAAAATAGTGACAATTATTGTAAGTTTCTCATTATAAACTTCATTTTCAAATAGTCACCATGTTGTGAATACCGTGTAACCATTCCATATTTGGAATTCGCAACTCCTAATATAGTAAGATGCAGATGCAAATTACGGCACATGTTAACTCAAGGAGATAAGAGGGCAGATGGTTAATAAATATTATCCTACTTAGTGTGTTTCAAATGTATGTGTGCTTCACACTTTTTGGGACGGGGGTGTCAAACAAGGACCAGACATCTAGCAGCATTTCACAGTGTACAGTAATAATGATTGAAAGAAGTAAATACAGCAAAGTTATGAAGGTAGCCCTGGACTGACAGCGCTCTTAAAAGTTAGCATTATTCACAATTTGTTATTGGTTGCCCATTCAAACACAGCTATAAATCCTGCTATAGCAAAATGCTATATGAATGCGCACTACAGCGATTATCTAACTTTGATTCCCTTTGATAACTAAATTATTTCTAATTTCATTCTTATTATTTTGTAGTTGCGAAATACTTTGGAATGGTATTGTCGAGAATTCAAAGACCCGATGATGATGGATCCGCCATCTTGGTTCCAAGCCTTTTGTGTTTGTGAATTACTTTTCCAGTTCCCGTTCTTCTTTGTAGCTACCAAATCATTTTTTAAAGGTACGCAGAAAAGAAGCACACATTTACATATACATGTACTTTAAACATAAGATATGAAATCCACGAAAAAGCATTGAAACATTAAATTATGCCCGACCATAATTATTTACACATTTGTCCCTATTAACGTAGAAACATCCGTGAAAGTGAATGTGAACTGAAAGTTACATGTACTTGTTATATTGCAAGTTTATCTACCTTGCATCTCGTTTTCGCAGAGCACACATGCTTCTTATACAGCAAAACTATTATTTACAGTAAGGTTTAGCTCGGCATGCCAACTCAAAGAGAGAGTAAATGCCTTAAACAGCAGTTGCCTTGATACCTTATCTGACTTCTTTGGTGCCCTTAATTAAATGTTCATAACACAGTTTCAATAAGACTAAGGTATTTTTACAAAGTCTTATGCCTTGAATATAAGTTGCTTCACATTTCCAAAAGTTCAAGCCATGTTCTGAACTTGAGCATTTCCTTGTTTAGATAAATCTACACCGCAGGAACCGACCAACTACTATGTACATTATTATTACAAACTGAAAAGCACGCACGGATTTAGGGGGAAGCCCGCAAAAAAAAAAAAAATTGACAAATCAATTGATAAACCCAGCCCACCGGAGGTGCGTCAATAGCAGTGACCCCCCTCCTCTATCAAATTATTGAATCCGCTAGTGGAAAGTGTAGGGCATAACAAAAAAGTGCAAATAACTGTAAAACTGCCTGATCTCTTGAGACAATTATCGCTATTGCAACGAAAAGCAATGAAAGGATCAGTTGATACTGTTGTAGAACGCCTACATGCATAATTCTTATAACCGTATAGAGTAGTAATTATGTTAACATGTGTATTAATTTTTTCACAGGGTCTGCAAAACACCTCAGGATCCCATTGTTGATATATTCCAGTCACGTGGCGACCACCGTGATAGCGATATTGTGCCATATATTATTCCATGACTTCAGTAGCGGTGACTATCCTGGACCGAGCACACTTAACGAGAGACTCTTTCTAGCCGCGATATACTCGCCATACTTAATAGTACCAGTTATGATTTTATTAACTATGTTGTATTCACAGGAATATAACAGCGATTCAAAGAAGTTCATGTGACGTAAAAATTTGTTTTCATACATGTATTAAGAAAAATGTTAAGGGATTAGCTTATGTTTCTGCTCGCCACAAGTCTACATGCTTTGTGAGGTATATAAATTATGTTTGTGTATTAGCAACACATAGGTAACTGTCCACAGAATATGATGTGACACTAAATCTGTAATTTCTATTTTTTTTTTAATTTGTACACTTTTATCGATAGAGTAAAACTGATAACTAAATTGCTGGTGTCACATGACAAGATTATTGCAAACGTATAGTATTATAAGTATAGTATATCATTTTACCCAAAGTCTTCACAAAGAGAAGGGCGGTTTAATTACAAAAACTATTATATATACAAAAAAAAAAAAGAATATTTTAAATCTTTATACCAGATATGCAAATATTTTTAACCCCTGTTGAATGAATTCTAAAACTTGAACCAATGTTCACGTCAGTCGCTAAACTTCATCCCCCGTCGATGCAAAGAAAAGGAAGAGTGAATACCCAGCCGTAATGGCTCCGCCATATGGTCTCTGTCACGTGGTTCGTGACGTAAGGGAAAAAAATCTTGGGGTCATGGGGCTCCCCCTAACCTAGATTCTATCTCTCAGTCATTGGCAGAATCGCTGATTAATGCCTACAGTTCAAAATAGTCATTATGACTGACCGGAGTCTATGGTGGGTAATTGAACGTAGTAAATTGTTTGATAATTGAATCCAAAATGGTCGTATGATGGTCATTTTAAGCACTTTTTCAGCTTAACAAGACAATTTTTAGTGAATATATATTATTACAATGGGGATATTCTGTAATGAGTGAATACCTCGGCTATTATAAGAAATAAAAAGGTATTATGTATTGATGACAGTGATTGTGTGTCTATTTAACGTTGCAATCCCACTTTGTATTGTATGCATAACGCCTCATTTGATCACCATGAAATATGATATAATCTGCCTGTTTCGCCACAAATCCTGAACCACTGAAGATAATCACAGCTTTGTGATGTTTGGCTATTGGTAAGCAGATGTCTTATGAATTCTGTCGCTGTTGTATACGTTACTTGTACACATTTACTTTATTTCTTCAATAAACATTTTCTTCAAGGTTTATGGTAAATTTTTGCATTGGTTTCCATGGTGAAGTCAGTTCTCTATACCTCAAAATTTTGCTCAGTAAAATGGAATGAAAAAGTCAAATATTATTGATATTCCTATTAATGCATTTCAGAAAGTTGACATTTAATTTAGCAAGTTTTAATATGCAGTAAAAAAATATGTACTACAAAATATGAATTTGGCTTGCTGCAAACTTTTATTGCAATTTGTGAATTTAATTTTACAATATCTATAATAATTGCTGTACAAAAAATACCAGCTGACTTAAATTTTTCACACATATTTTAATCATTTTTTGCAAAGAAAAATCCAAATTTTCATAACAGTATATTACAGAGGACTATTTACACAATATTTTTTTTAAGAAAGCACAAAGATAAATTAAAGATTACATTATTTTTGTAATATAAACTGTTCAATAAATTCATTCTGTTCCGATTCTTCTTTCAATAGTGATGCATACTGTATTCTGTATCTGAAAAATGAAATGAACGGGGATAAAAATTAACACCAGGAAGTGTATAACTGCTGTTTTGATTACCATCAAAAGTTAATGAATGGCAAAAAGAAAAAAAAGTTGCAATAGGGCAACCTAGAAAAATCTTCTTGGTAGAGAACTATCTATAATATAATACTGACTACATAGCATGTCAGGTCTTGGTGGCGCACTTTTACCCACAATTCAACACTTTGCACATGCATCTAAAGTTTGCAGCAGAAAGATGCAATAAAAAACAAATTTCACCCTGTCAGTGAATCCGTGTTGGGATAAAAATTGTATATATGCACTGAAAATCAAATCTGTTACAATCGAATAGACAATAATAGTCTCAGAGTACAATTTTTATCTGAAGTGCTACAACAAATTTTCTGCTACTTGCAGAAAGCATATCTAACTTAATTTGGAACAAAGCCTTGTTAATCGTAAGAGAACTATAGGACTTGTTTTTGATCCCCAAGTAGTGTTCAGTAGGTGTGAAACTCCTCACCTTTCTAATTGTGTTTTCTTCTCTGCTATGAGGGCTTGAAATTGCTGTTGTTGTGCTTCTCTCTGTTTGGCTATTGACTTCAGTAAATTTCTCGATCCAATTGCCTGGTGGATATATAAAAAGGAGACAATACATTACGTGACAAACCTTAGAAAACTCTATTCATATATAAATTGTATAACCTTTTGAATGCTAATGTAAATTTCTGTCACAAAATAAACCTGCACAATTTTTTCCCATGTTCCTTTTTGAAATATTTATTAAAACCTGTAGTCAATGAGGAATTACGTATATTAGGTTCAAAATCAATAAAGAAATGTGCAAATACCATAGACATTTTTACCACCATTTTTGACCCTAAAAAAACATAATGTGTCCAAAAACACTATCTAGAAGTGCATGCACCAACATAAAATGTCAGTAGAATAAGTATTCCATCATAATTTGTATTTGTACCAATTTTGAACAAAACTACTTCTTGCATTCCCATAAGAAGGAATAACATAGTTTTAGACCAAAAATGACCATTTTTTTCTTAAAAGACCCCCTTCACATGCACCTGTCGACCCCATAATACATTGCCTATGTCTATTCAAATCTGTCAGTGCATGTCAGAGATACAAAAGTGTATGAATAAATGAGCCGAATGGTACCCAAATTATAAGTGACAGGGACTAAAAACGTCTACCGATTCTACACATTGTTATTACAAAAACTGTATCTTGATCTAAAACGGATATGTTTTATTTTCTCCTCAAAGACACACATATCATAATAAGGCTTAACAAATCTGTTCAGTGAAATCTGATAAACTGAGAAAATTGTTCAATATGCAGATATTTATATATTATAGAAAAGACAACAAATTGGTAGTGGTTTTACATCACACATTCAATAACATAATCTTGTAACTAATTAAAGGTGTGTTATAGTTGTGTTATTAAATGGTTGGTGTTCACATTACAAGGTTGTTATTTACTGCAGCATGGATTAATGGTCTCACCTTCATTTTCTCTTTTTCAACTTCTTTCGAAAGTTTGTCCACAACATCAATGAAGCTACTTACAATCTTCTGGAATTCCGCAATTTCTTGGAAAAAAAAAAACATGAATGAAAAGTTGATAGTCAAACTTGATTTGTTGATAGATCCTAAAGCGGGGATGCTATTTATTATTACACACCTAGCATGGAAAACAATAGAATTAAACTCCATTTGTTAGGCATATGCAAACAGCACCTAGACATCTGGAATTAGTGGAAAATGCATTTTAGGTCAACAAAAATTTGGCTTTCCAGCTATAAGCATATTATTAAGAATATATATGGCTATGCTACATGACATATCACCACAATTTTTTTTCACGGTACCACAAAAGCAATATCTGCTCAGTATTGAAAAGAAATAAACAATATGAAAAAGCATGAAAAACACAGCTCATGCTTCTTAAATAAAATAAGACCATCGTTGGCGCATAGAGTTTCAAATCTGTTCATCTCTCTTAACGAACCTCTGCGGTAATTCTATTCATAAGAGCGTATTTTGGAACTTGCATCTGAGTGGACGCAATAGTGAAGTTCTGGACCAATTAGATTTGTTGTTACAAATATTTTGTTTAAATATACTGAGCTGCTTGTGAGCAGTGTGTGATAACAACTTTTTCATTGATTCAATCTATTGGTACAGTGTTAGTGTATTTTGCTTGTTACCCAGGGAAAGTAACAAGGTGTTACATCAGCCTGATAATCGGTGAATTCTGAATTCAACCTGGGATTGAAATTCTCCACCTGTAACTACCACCTGCATGCTTTTTTAGTACTAACTGTTACAAGTGTGATACAGATTAAATCAGGCAGTCAAAGCTACTGGCAGAGCTCTTGGCACATTTTTGATTCACTGTCAGGTAGCAACATGCTTGATGCTGTGATGGAATATGTAAGACACACCTTTGATATCTAGAACTGAAGCCTTACACAAACAGGTACCATTTATGAAATTATATTGATTGCTAATAAGTCACTTCAACAAAGAAGCCTTACAATATAATGATACTCCCATGGTGCATCTCACTCAACATTTTAGTACAGACAAGTGTTATCATGGTAGCATAATGTTACATTATAAATTGTCAATGATGACATCTTTGTGAATGTTGATCATAATACTCAAGTTAAATACTGAAGTAATAAAGAAACATGTGTTAACAAATTTCATAAAAACAAAGTATTGTATACATCGCTATGCAAACCATAACAAACATGATGCAACACAACAAAAACATGGCATTTTACGATTAAATAGTAAATAACACTTTAATATTGTATTTTAATATTGTTTACAAAGTATGTATACAGAATTTGTTGCATCAAGAGCTTTATCATCTTCTGGAATCACACTGGTTTACATGTTTTCATGAATCACAATATCAACTTGTTCCACAAATACCGAGGTAGAAGACAACCTCAAAAAGATTAGATATTGGCAATTACGTGTTATGGTTAATGTTATCATTATATATTGTTACGATGATACTAGTATTTTCAGTTACAACTGATTCTAGTATAAAATTGAGCTCAGCAGTGAATTAAATATTGAGAGTTAGAAAAAAAAAATGACACTGATATATACAGTTTTTTTTTACAATTAGGACATCAACTGACACTGCTACCGTGAAGTAGTTCGATGTATGAATGTGTATTGTAACAGTTTGGCAGCTTTGTTTAGCAGTCACGTTACTATAGGCGACAATCTTGCTGTCGGTATTATCATGGCTTCTACCATAGACCCTCTATCTTAGAAGGTCTACGTTTCTAAGTCGATTAATAAGAATGATTAAGAATTCAATACGATTCTTATTGAACTGCAACTAGCATTTAGATTAATGGTAATTGTTGTGTATACTCACTATCAACGAACTCCTTACATTCTTCTTTCAGTTCTACCGTTTGTTGTGAGTATTCAGGCTCGAGAACGCGAACCTTGTTCAATTCATCAAAATGTAATCCCGACTTTGCCAATGCTTCGTCTGCCATGTTTGTTGTTTCTCTGGAATGCGCCTCGTTTTCGTGGTGATTCTTCTTGCCTGTGGGGGCGCACATCTGACAACTGGATATTTTGTTTTTTCTACAAAAGCAATATTTAAGGTAGTGAGATAGTTTTGGTGGGACTTTTCAATGTTTTTTTCAAAAATGGGAGAAATGACACTTTGGCATCAACTTTATGTAGTATAATATTTATTTTGCTGAAAAGAATGTTGTTTTTTTCTCTTCCTCAAACAAAGGCATAACTTCTTCATTAATATTCATGACTGACAAACATAACTGAACAAAGCCGAGATAATTGCAAATAGGATTACTTTTAATGTTTGTCATTTGTAAACACCTATTGATAACAAAGATGTGCACACTGTTAGTTTTCTTGACAAGAGAAAGCTGCACGAGAGCACCCACCCAAACACTGCCACATCATTGTAGGCTGTTTGCCCAGCACATTTTATAAAAGTCAGATGAGAACTCTGAAGTGATATTATTAAGTAAACGCCATCATATGCAATCATCTGATTTAGCTGCATGTTTCATTACGACTATCGCGTCCACAAAAAGACAAACAAGTTCGTTAGATTGTTTTACCAAATAGATGCATACATGCATACATTATATTAGCCTCAAAAATTGTGATTTATATTTAATTGGACGAGTCAATATCAAATTTATGCTGTCGCACAAGCGTTGGAAATTGGTTCATTAAAAAACTGTGAATGAATGTGCGTCATCGGCACCAAAAGTTGATCAAACGAAATAAATAAATAAGTAAGTTTATTCTCCTTATTATAACCAATACAATTATAATAGAATCAAAAACTAAATACAATGCAAGAACATAAGTGAGAATAGGATCGGAAAATAACAGTCAGGTGACTGCTAATCTGACCCGTTTCCATCTTCTTAAATAAATAGTCATAATAATTAATTAATAGGGCTTGTCAAAGAAATAGCGAAAAAATATATAGATATGTATATACATTTTTATGTTCGAGAAAACACTAAGTTAACTATGTATGCAAAAGATATTTTTTGTATTCTTTTTAAATATGTTTCTGGACTGTATAGATCTAATATGAGTCGGAATTTTGTTCCATATTTTCGGGCCAAAATATTTTATAGAAAATTTACCACATTTTTTCTTAACTTTGGGGAGAGAAAGATTACATTTGTAGTTTTGTCTTGTGTTATAATTATGTTCAATCTGCGGGAAGTAGTTGTGGAAAATTGGTGGTAATCTATCATAAATTGAATCATGCACTAAGGTTCGAATTTGTAGAGAATGTTGTTTATAAATATCTAAAATGCCTAATTGTTTAAACAAAGGTGCTGAGGGTGTATTTTAATTTTTAAAGCGATAATGCGAACAATGCGTTTTTCAGGTGATAATGATATGTACTTCCCCAAACCTCTAATCCATAAGAAATGCGAGGAAGAATAAATGTGTTGTATAACAATGTTAATACTGACCGTGGAATTAAAAATCTGAGCTTGAAAAATATACCTGCTAATTTACTGATTTTTATATGAATGATATATATATGATTTTTCCATGTCATATGTTTTTCCATATTAATTACAATGTAATTAATATTACAGGTTTCACTTAATTGGTCACCTTCAAGATTGAATTCACCCTCAGTTTTGATTTTTTGTATGTGTATTGGAAATAGACATGTAATTTGTTTTATCGGAATTAATAGTAAGTTTGTTTGCATCACACCACATTACCACCTTTTGAAATTCACAATTCAGAGCGTTTATGTTGATTTGGTTAGATTTGTTTTCAACTGTGTGGAAGATATTGGAGTCGTCAGCATATAATCTGAAGTTACAAAAATAGTATGGGCCCTAGAATGGAACCTTGGGGTACTCCACATGTAATTGGCAATGTTTGGGATTTAGTGTTGTAAATACAAACATACTGATTTCTTGCTGTCAGATAACTTTTAAACCAGGACAAGCCACCCCCCTTATACCATAATGCAGTCAACAGTTTCTATGAAAAATAATAGCATTTTGTACAAAAAATACATACTTCAAAAATAATTTTCATCCGAATCGAAGTTTGTTGCTATCTGCTTCGTTGAAAACAGCTACGAACAGTTCATTGAATGCGAAGCCTGATACCATGTAAAGATGCATTTGATGGATAAAACAACGCATTGGCCCGAAAAAACGACCAATCAGAATATTTGTTCCAAAAAAGAGAGCAGGTGAATCGATTTCCTCCACTTATGATGCGAGTTGAAAGCAAACACAATATTAAAAAAAAAATATTAATCGAAACTTTAATCCATATATATATATAGTAGATACAATAGTCGATTATTCCAAAACAAAAGTGCTCAATACAAAGTATATGTAGAGCGGGTGAATACGGTGATAGAGGAATTAATACACAACTACATGAATATTGAAACTCGACAGCACTGTTTCGTAAGGTACAAGCACCTCACTCATCAGAAGCTTTATGTTTAATCATTCACTGCACCAAAGAGCATACATTATAAGCTTCGCAAATTAACATATTAATTAAAATTAAATAGAAAGTTTAATTGTTACATATTAGAGCTTTTGATCTGTGTCGGCAGATGACACGAGTTCATTTCTTTTGTTTAATGTGGAGTGGTTGGGTCTAAAAATTATGATGATTTTTTCTTTCAAACATAAAATACATCGTTTGCTGGAGCTATTATACGGGCTACCGCGAGCAAGAATTTTCCATTGTATTTTATATTCAATATCTTTTTCTTTGAGTGACCAGACGTGTTTGCTTAGTTCTGTCGCATTTCTGGAGGCCTGATTGCGAAATGAGGCCGTGTGGTTTCTGTATCTTGTTTTATATATATATATATATATATATATATATATATATATATATATATATATATATATATATATATATATATATATATATATAGGTTTGGTGGTTTCACGTACGCGCTTCTTTCAATTTGTAGATCGGCATTTCCCTTGCCAATAAACTATCTCGCTGGGGATGACTACTTTTTAAAATGCAATTGGAAGAAAACAAACAAACCACGGTCGGTATTTCTTCTTCGAGTGTTTCTGAAAAACATCAATGTTAGAAGTGTTAAATTAATCGACATTTGACCAGCCCTACAAGAAACCTGCCTCTCAAAATTATGTACACATAGTAAAAAAAATCACTGAATTAATGACATTTTCACAATATATTTTACAAGTTTATGGTGCCTGAGCTGATATAGTGGGCTGAAATTTTCTGAAATATGCATGGAAACACGTATGTAATCTATACTGTTATTGTCATATGATATATCATCAATATATTTTGGTATTAACAGAATAATGGGCCAAATAATGAAACATCCTCCAAATTCAACTGTTAGCCTGGCAAGCACATGCATGTTTGCCGCCCCCTCTGGTCACATGAACCAACAGGCGTTAGCGCCCTCCTAGCCATGGTCAATGATTGAAGTAAACCCACATCATAGAGTTTCTATAGCCAATGAAAACACCTTGATTTAAATGAAGTGCATGAATCTTTCAGGATAACTTTTTTATAAATATTTAAATATGTCCATAAAACAAATTCCCTTCTACATGAAAACCCTAAATTTTTAATGTTTTATATTTAACCTAACGATCAGATTCTCCCTATTTGTAATTTAGCAGGTATAGATCGTATGTTTCCTTCTTCGGTGAATATTGTATAATCATGCCATACTATCTATTTATTGCGAGTACAATCTTTATTATGGAAGTACAATTTCAAAAATGGAGATTTTGACATATTTACGTATTATTGTATTTCAATAAATAAATAAATAAATAAATAAATAAATAAATAAATAACATCAGGTTTAAATAATGATCAGCCCGACTCAGAATTAATTAGTCTGAATCTAAATAGAATGACAGGTAGTAAGTATACACTGGCTGATCCACTCCCAGTTTTCTTTAGGGTTCCTTATATATCCGTTTTTGTCAATATTAATATTGCTGACAAACACTAGATACACTAAACTAAGAACGGACTGCTCACTGGGAAACACAACACAAACAATTTTTAAACATATTTGATCAAAATTGTCATTGAAAAATTCTAGGATCAAGATACCCTACCCTCTAAAGTTGCCCTCAATATTCCGGTCCTTAGAAAATAGCAAAATGTTTCCCTGCCCTCAAAAAATCTTTGTGGAGCACCTTTTTTGATGAACAGCTCTATTGACTGCATCTGTAGTAAGAACTATACTGAGCTGCTGCTAACTTTGCGTTGACAAACCAATCCTTAATACCTAAAACCACATTCGTTTACTACGTCTTCTCCTGCGGCGGCTGTTAACATTTCCCTTGCTGGAAAAACTGTCTGTTAAAAGAAACATATCATTGGACCCTCTCAGTTCTATTTGCCATATTTGTTTACAACTTTAGGTTGACAATTTGCCGAAAAGAGGGTATGAGTGTCTTTGTCGTGTGTATAGTTTTTAAATTCTTACGGGTGAACAAAGCGGGACTAAATGATCTTCAGCGATAGGTCAATGACCCCGAAAATCGAAGTGGTACAATTGATAGGATGCACGGTCAGTAGGTTTCAAACAATAAAGCGTCGGAATACAAACGCACCTCAAAATAGTGTACTGTATAATTTGAGCGCCTTCGAATATTGTTTTAACTAGTTTGTAGAATGTCCATAATAAGAACATCGGGAAAAGCGATAGATGCAAAATACTCTACCCTGATATTGTTGACACTATTCAAAACTGATGAAAACATAATAATAAATTTGTAAGGCTTACTCGATGGGGATCACTGCGACAAGTTGCCCGCAGGTGAAAATTACTAGTACTAGAGGAAGCAGTGTGCGGCTCCACACACAGTCCCCCAACACCTGTGCTCCACATAAAAGACAAAGGCATCCATAAACATCAGCAATGACAGTGTGCACGCCCCAATTTAAAGCCATATTGAGTGAGTGCCCATCACTTCTATAATCCTAGCCATTGTCATATCGAGACAAGTCTAGTAATCCCACGTGACTAGTATGGAATTTACTATGAATGAGCGATGTGGCCTACATATAGGGCGCACATAACACGACCATTGGAATAGACTAGTTTATTGCCCACGGCACGTAGGCGACTACTCCTGCAGTCAATGTTCAGTCGGTCTGAAGCTGAGCAGAAGACAACATTATTTCGTAATTTGTAAGTATTTTATAGTTTGTTTTTCGAAAGCACATACTGTCGTTGGTTGCCATGGCGAAAACATTTTGAACAAGCAATAACAATATCACATGGACGCAGAGTGTATTGATATTATGACGGGACCTGGTTGTTGTGTTTGCATGTAACCACGTATCATCGCCTCCTTCGAATCATGAAACAAACGCAAGACCTAAATATTCGAAAATATAGTTGATGTCACATTATTCAAGCGCGTTGTAGTTGATATGATTTACGTTTATGTGGTCAAAACGCCGTATTATTGAATAGCTCATTGCTATAGTCACCGTCCCTTGATGGACTATTGTACAACGAGAAACGACACAGTGTGCATTGTTGTAAGACTTTTAGTATCTTTACAGTGATTTTCATCTGCAAATAGACTCGCCGTAATATAACTGATTCTCTAGTTCTAAATCCCGTTTTTTTTTCAAGGTTATAAACAGTATATATCGCTTTTAAAAAAGCTGTCAGTGTCCCGTCACCGTGGTCAGTCAGTAGGACAATAGTGGCCTGGGTACGGGCTTCAATCTTGATAATCTGTGTAGAATTTAAGTGGGAGTATAAATGTAATACAATGTATACCAAGGTGTTGATTTTTCCGTCTGCTTCAAATTGTTTGCGGATTCCAAGGTAGAATGTGAGGAGAGGCGTGGCAGTGTTTTCAATGTGTATACCACAATTGCAGTCTACCGTTATATGGCGCAATTTAACAATTTCCATCGCGTTGCTTGTTTCTTACAGTTTAATACAACAGTGGTTACAACGTCTTATAATATTAAACGTACATATATATAAGTGTTGCTATGGGTTGCCAAGGGAGTAAAACGACGGCCAAGTTCAGTCACCAAGCAGAAAACAATGAACAGACTAACACGTAAGTGTTCGTTAACAATGTACCATATACAGTGCTGTATAAACAATGCATTGTTTTGGTATCTTTGAATTCTAACCTACATTTTTGGAGGCACTGGAAACCGTAACGTATACCGGATAACGTAAACAGCGTAAAGACAATCGCATTTGTAAATAGCCAAGGTTTCATGATGACAGTTTCTAGATCAGTGAACAGTGATTGTTTTCACCTTTGACCACTTGTTCTTCTTTATTATGCCATAGCGTTAGTAAGAAACTTTCTTGATAACACTACGTCGAAATATTTTCCAACAATAGTCACCACTCCCGGAGTATTTAGTTTATTTTTTATATTGACGTGTCATGCATGCCAATTATTTCAAAGATGTAATGTCATTGCAGTGAATAAAACTATAGCCCGAAGCAGACAGCTATATTTTACAACCTTTGGTTTGACAGATAACTCCCGTTGAGGGACACAACCTAATGATTAACCTGTCCCAACATATGACCTTTACTTTACACAATACAGTTGCATTGGTCTCGCGTAGTTCGTGTGGTGAACGAACTTTTATAGTTCACGGATTCTGCTTCATTAAGCAGGACAGATACAGCCAATGACGTTGCTATACTGTTTTATTGTTGTTACGGAGGACGTGAAATATCCTCCTCGCCTATTGGCTATGTAAATTGAGTATGCAAATTGCAGTACTATATATAGATTCAGCATGTTACATTTCATTTATCTGTACATTCAGTCGATGACACAGGTGGAGCAAGGTATTTATTATATTATATCGCTGTTAGGATATTTTTTTTTATCAAATCAATGTTTTCCCCTTCCTGACAGTCAATTTTGTTTCGATGATCACGTGTGAAGATTCGTCTAATTTAGTTTCACTGCACAAACTGCCTACATTAGCGTGCGTAATGGTTTCCACTTCTAAGACTTGAGTCTACCAGTTGACAGGTGATTGATATTTTCAAAATATGCAGAGTGAAATCTGTGGATATCGAGGAGGGTCTCGTGTATGCGTGTATTGATTTGCGATGTTTCATATTAAATCGCGTTAAAATATCGTGTAAAACGATGTATTTTACACGCGTTTGTGCGTCGCATAAGACCTATCGAACATAACACGGCGCGACGGGCACCTCTCTTTTTTATCCATACTAGCACGTCTGCTATCGATCCATAATCATAACAACATATTCGTTTGACACTCTATGTAGGTCGTTCGCGACCAGCTCCAATTGACAAGCTCCAATGTTTATTCATGACCTGTACTACATACGGTGACATCACATAACCTAGTTCGCTTTGAAAGGACAAATAATATTTAGCTTGAATGTGAACTCCACACCGAATTCGCGCGTAGAATTTAGTAAGCATTATCGTCTAGGACTTACAATAATTGAGTTTATTTATTATTTAGATTTGTAGCAATTAAAAGGCTGCAATAAACGCTGGAAGCAGCTTTAATTTCGTGAAAGACTATGACCAGTGCTCGCAGGAATTTAGCGAGTAGGGGAAAATCGCGAACTTTTGTAACACAGAACATTTCACTTTTTATCTTTAAAGCAGCGAGTTACAGCTCCATGGTTACAGTGACGTTTGCGAATGTTTTACAGTATTTATTCCGTATTTGGGAGGGGACAGAAAAAAATGAAATTGAAACATTGTTATTGCCGAAAATATCGAGAACGTTTACACTATTTATCACGGAAGTGGGAGGGGTACATAAATATTTAAAAGTGACACAATACAGTTAATCGTCGATGCGTGTTTCGTAATTGTGCTTATGTATGTCACATGACCGCCTTGTACAAGGAAGATGAACTATGCAATCTTTAACAAGGCGCATGAAAAATGTATTCTTTGTTAAGGTTACAAGGAGCCCCAGGGTAACGTGGTTGGGGTTCATTGTAGTGCTAATGAATGACGACTCCTCCCCGTTAATATGTATATAAGATTACGAACAATCCCGCAACTGTGCTATTTATGTGGAATATTTAAATACTTATTTATTAACTGGGCGTACCCCTTTTCCCATTCATACGTATAGCATAAACATCAAGCTGTTATGAGGGTGTGACGTAACACGCTATTTCGACACTAACGCATCATCTACTAGTGTTATGATAGTAGGACGTAATACGATATTTCATTACTAAAATGTATTATCTACTAGT